TCATTTTTTTGCAGATGGATATCCAGTTTTGCCAGCACCATTTGTTAAAAAGACTGTCTTTTCCCCATTTGATGGACTTTGGGCCCTCTGAACACGGGGTTCTTATTAAAAAAAAAAAAAAAATTCCCTCGGGGCAGTTTCTGTATACAAAAAGGACAATTCAGCAGCTTACTTTGTTTTCTAAAAACTACTATTTTTCTTACTGAAATCGTAAATTTTTGTTTTGTTTTGTTGTTTTGGTTTTTTTCATTTGTTTGTTTCTAGTTCTGGGTTAACAGAGAGTCCAGGGGCGTGTCTTCCAGGGTTCCTCCAGTCTCAGTCAGACCAAGTCTGGTCTTCTTACTAGAATTTGAGTTCTGCACCCCACCTTTCTCCTGTTCGATCCGGGACTCTCTGTTGTGTTCCTTATCACAGCGGTCATTGGTGGCGGTCGGGCACCATCTAGTTCTGCTCTCAGGATGATGAAGTCTCTGGTTTATGCGGTCCTTTCTGTCTCTTGGGCTACTATTTTCCTTGTGTCTTTGGTGTTCTTCATTCTCCAGGTGGTAGGGACCAACTGATGCATCTTAGATGGTTGCCTGCAAGCTTTTAAGACCACAAACGACCGTCATCAAAGTGGGATGCAGGACATTTTATGAGTTTTGTTATGCCAATTGACCTAGATGTCCCCTGAAACCATGGTCCCCCGACCCCCGCCCCTGCTACTCTGTCCCTCGAAGTGTTTGGTTGTGTTCAGGAAACTTCTTAGCTTTTCGTTTAGTCCAGTTGTGCTGAAATTGTAAATTTTAAAGAAGTGTAACTGACCTTTAAAAGCTTTCATACTCAGCTTATAAGTCCTGCTATTCTTTGAAAAGTAGTCTAACCAATTCCAGCAGTCACTTTTCAGGGCCTTTGAACAATGTTTGGCTCCATTTTACAAACTTAATTAAACACTTGTAAACATTTTAAACTGTATTTTAAAATTTAATACATTCCATTTCCTTTTTAAGTACCTCGATTATCTGATTTAGCAAACAAATCTTCCTGAGGTTGTATAAATCTAATAAATTGAACTTACAAATATGGTGAGCTTTACATTCTCATGAACATTCCAATGCTGTATATAAACAGTGAGCTTTTAACTTAAAATCATGTTTAAATCAATTATTCAATTATACATTTTAAATCAGAATCACAACCCCCAATTCTATTAAGATTGCAAATACTTAAAACACCAAATAGGAAGATGCCTTAAACTAGAAGTACTACTGTTACAGTTTTACTTCCCTTAAATGTTTTTATTCTTAATTCTAAATCTTCGAGGGTTTAAATATCCTCACTTGCTAGGGATACAACTATTTTCTCAGCTAATTGAGGTTGCTTATTGACCAGAGATTGAGCTGGTCAGCCGCCCTGATGGGGCACACAGGGGCCTTATTTCTTGTCACTAACAAGGACTTCTTCACAACTTAAGAGGAGGGCCTGGTCTTGTAACCCAGCCAAGTGGCTCCACTTTGTGATTAGACTTTGCCTTTCTTGGGCTTTTAGGAAGTGTAAATGCCTTTTCCACGTAACTCTCAAGACCTCTGGGCTTGACATCCTGCGTTCTTGTCATCCTCTTACTGCTGGCACCGTGACGACCCTTTGCTGTCGTTACTGTCAGCTGCCATCGAGTTGGCCTCTGACTCTCGGTGACCCCATGCACGACAGGCTGTTGTGACCCCTAAGGTTTTCATTGATGGCCAGGCCTTTCTTCCTAGTCCATCTCTTAGACTGGACGCTCCACTGAAACCTGTTCAGCATCAGCAACGTGCAAGCCTCCACTGGCAGACAGGTGGCAGCTGCTCCTAAGGCACGTTGGCAGGGAATTGAACCTGGGTCTCCCGAATGGAAGACGATTCTACCCCTGAACCACCAATGGCCCCGTGATGGCTCTTACGGATACTGAAATTCTATCTCATTGAATTCTGCAAATCTGAAGACTCAGTCTGGAGATGTCACCTGGCTGTGGGTCACACTGCCAGCACTTGCCCAGGTCCACGAGGCCCAGCATGACCTGTGCCTTGCCTGTTTTTCCAAGTCACGCATCCCTCTCTTCACAAAGCTCCAGCCACACTACTTTCATTTTTCTTCCTCTAATCACCCAACCTCGCTATGGCCTTGGGGCTTTGGCACTAGCCGTCCCCTCTGCCTAGAAGGCTTTGGCCGCAAATCTTGTGGCTGGTATCTTCTCTTCATTCCAGGTCTCACCTTCTCATAGAGGCCTTCCTTGCCCCTCAAGTTACTCTGGCCCCCACCCCCCACTCCCCATGCATCATGCTCTGTTACAACACCCCGCTTTATTGTCTTCACTTCTGGAAATATCTTGGTGGTTGTTGTTCATTGTCTGACTTCCCACGGGTACGTGAGCTCCTCGAGTGCAGGGTCTTTATGGGTCTAGTTCACCACCAGTGAGTCCCGGTGCCCAGAACGGTGTGAATAAGCGAAGGAATGAAACAAGCAGAAAAGCAAATGGCTACTTATCCATCATTCATGCCTTCCAGACCTGTGTTCCTGAAAGCACTCACCCCCTCAAGGTGGAGGCGTGTCCCAAGGACTGGCCCAGCCACGGGGAGATCACCTTCAAAGACTATCAGATGAGGTACAGAGACAGCACTCCCCTCGTTCTCGACGGGCTGAGCCTGAACATCCAGAGCGGGCAGACGGTTGGGATTGTCGGAAGAACGGGTTCCGGTGAGGACAAGCTCTGCTTTTGCATCTCGGGTTGTTTTCTTTGAATTCCGCTGGATGTGCTCGTCGAGCCCCGCCAGAGGGTGACGCATATGTGTAGTGGATTGGCTGGGGTTTTTTTACGCCCCCTCAAATCTCTTTACTGCAAACTAGGATTTCAGGTTGAATGGATGTGTGGCGTTGGAAGGAAACACACATCAGTTCTTGAATTAATTAAATGAGAACCATTCCTGTTGGCCGAGGCCCAGTGGATGAGTGGTAGGGCCGCCGGTCGCCACCAGCACGGTGAGGGACGCCCGTCTGCACAGCTCTCCGCGCACAGCCATTTCCACTGCGTCTGAAATTCCCTTAATTAAACGCCTGGGTATGGCGGAAGTACAAGCTAACGCTTGATTTGTCGCTTTTGCTTGTCTTGTCCCCAGGGAAGTCATCTTTGGGAATGGCCTTGTTTCGTCTGGTGGAGCCAGCCAGCGGTACGATCTTCATCGATGAGGTGGACATTCGCTCCATTGGTTTAGAAGACCTCAGGACCAAGCTGACCGTGATCCCCCAGGACCCTGTCCTGTTTGTAGGTACAGTAAGGTAGCTGCTTTTGATCACTGCGCATTCCTAGTTTTGGATAGTGAAATCAGGCGGACCAGGAGGTTCGTGAAGTCCCCGAGGCACAGCTGGCCTGGGGCTGTCGCATCTCAGGGAAGCAGCATCCTGAAGTGCTCACTGCCGATGCCCGCTTCTGAGAGAAGCCCCAGGAGGAGCTGGGGACCGGGGCCCTGGACATGACTCATATTTTGTAAATTACATCATTAGTAACCGAAAAGCAAGGTGGTTGTGCGTGGGGTGACAAGATATCCCGGTTTGCCCAGGAGAGCTCTGGCTTATGCCTGTGCCCCATCCCATCCGGTCTGGCAGTGGCCCCTCTCAAAAGTGCCCCGGTTTACCCAGTAAATAAACCGTTATCCTACTTACGGAGCCCTCTGCTGGGACCTACAGTGATTCATTCCCACTGAGGAGTGAATGGTTAATGTTCTCGGCTGCTAAGGGAAAGGTTGGAGGTTCTAGACCACCTGGAGGCACCTTGGAAGAAAGGCCTGGTGATCTACTGCCTAAAGATCAGCCACTGAAAGCCCTAGGGAGCACAGCTCTACTCTGACACACATGGGGTCGCCATGGGTTGGAGTCTGAGTCAACTCGGTAGCAACTGGTTAAGGGGTGAACAGAAGCTGCGAAGAACTACAAGAACGGTAGAGTTGCAACTTCTAGGGGATCAAGATCCAAGGTCAGGGCACAGGGGGAAAACCACAGCATCAAATTAAACTTGAAAATCCCATCAGAAGATGCCACCCCTGAGTTTTTCAATTAGTCCAGGGCAGCGGCTGTAATGTGAAGCACCAGACAATGTAGGGGCTCTATTTAGAAACCGTGTATCAAAAACACTTTCCACACCTTGAAATTCTAGACTCTCACCCTGCATGGTCACCCTTTGCAAGGCCCTGGGGACCGCAGATCAAGTACCTCTTGAAGCTCACAGGGTCACTCTGAAGGTGGGGGTGAATGGAATGGCAGGTTGAATTCCCTCTCTTCCTTTCTCTCTGCCAAAAGCAAAAGAAGATGAAGTTGTCCCAGGTGAAATCCACACTGGGGCTCAGTGGTAGAATTCTCGCCTTCCGTGAGACGCCATTGCGCCTCCTGTGCAGCAACCACCCATCTGCCGGTGGAAGCTTGCACGTTGACGCGATGTTCAACGGGACTCAGAGGAACTTCTAGACTAAGAGGGACTAGGAAGAAGGGCCTGGTGATCCACTTCCAAGAATCAGCCAGTGAAAACCCTATGGATCACAATGGTCTGATCCTGTTGTGCATGAGGTCACCACGAGTTGGGGGTCAACTTGACAGCCGCTAACAGCAAAAACCCACTCTGCTGCATATGGTGATGGAAAGGTGCAGAGGCGTCTTCCTGGGTGCCTAGCTCAGTGCTACCTCTCGGCTGCCTGCCTCAGTGGTCTCTGCTGGGTCATGGGTTGTGGGTCCTCAGTCTTGTGGTCCAAGTTGGTATTCAATGGGCTGTTGTCCTGGGCTGTAAGGCCATTACATACCGTCCTTCTCTTCCCCACACCCTTCCCCAGCCTCTCATCCTCAGAAATCCAGCCCCCTCTCCTTTGCCTCACTGCAGGTACAACTTGGATCCCTTCGAGAACCACACCGACGAGATGCTCTGGCAGGTTCTGGAGAGAACATTCATGAGAGACACAGTACGTTTCTGGGGCTGTCCAGGACGAATCACCTTCCCAGAACCAGTGCTAGATACCTGGCCTGGGTTTTCATTCCACAAACACCTGGCCAGCATTTGACCAGGTTTGCTGTGGGCAACACACAGGTCAGTTAACGCGATGCTCATCTACTGCTCGTTATGGATAGCAGCAACAGATAATACTGATGAGCCCCCTGAAATGATCCAGCTGAGACCTCTACATTAATCATCTCGCTTGATCCTTACTACAACCCTCTGAGGCTGGTACTGTCACCCCAATTTTAGAGATGCAGAAATGAGGCTCAGGGCAGGGAAGTAACATGTTCAGGCTAGCGAGTGGCAGACTGGAGACTTGAATCCAAGTCCATTTCCCTCTAGAGCAGATGGAGTGCCCTGCTACTGGGCCAGTGGCCTTGTTTGCTTATCCAAATGATGCCACAGAAAGCTGGGAGGTGTGGCATGTTCCAGGAATGGCAAGTATGACTGGTTTGAGTGGACTGAGCCGTCTGCAAAGTGGGACCCTGACCCATAAGATCCTCCGCTCCAGCTGGGATCAGCAGATGAGCGTGGCCACCTCTGCTGCCCACGGGAGTGTTTTCCCAGGACGTGGCACCAAGATGAGCCTCTCCTAAAGCCACCGTGACTTGTCCAGCTAACAAGCCTTACCTTCTTTGGTCACCAGAAACCCTCCCACCCGTCCCCGTCCCATCATTATTTTGTCTGTGGAAATGGGGACTCGGAAAGCCATTTGCACTTGTTTGTGAGTCCTCTGGAGCCAACGGTGCATGGCGTGTGCTCTTTGGTGAGGTGTCTGCGGGGTTCTATGAATCATACTGAGATTTTAAATTATTACTGTCCGCCTACTCCCTGGTCCTTCCCGGGTGTCTGTTTGCGGTATTGAAATGATGGTTGTTTTGCATTTTCTTTTCCACAGTAAAATAAAGCAAGCTGATGAATGCAAGAAACAGGGCAATCAATAGAGGCTACACAGGACAATTTTATAGATCATCAGCATAAATGCGGCATTTTCTGTGTTTTACAGATAATGAAACTGCCGGAAAAATTACAGGCAGAAGTCACAGAAAATGGCGAAAACTTCTCAGTAGGGGAACGCCAGCTGCTCTGTATGGCCCGGGCACTCCTCCGCAATTCAAAAGTAAGGAAACAGCACGGGAAATGGATTGGTCAAATTTTGGATATCGCCCGCAGCGCCACTCCATCCAGGGGGACAGCCACACGTTTGTCTTCCAGCAAAGAGAGCAATTGGGCCATTTAAAAACCGATCACTTTTTCTTAAGACAAAGCCGTGTGGGGTAAAAACTGAAAAATAACCGTTCACAGCAATAGCACCTTCCTCCCCTGGGCCTCCCCCTGGGCGAGATTGCTTAGGTATTCTCTCTGTTGTCATAAGTGGTTTGAGTTTGAAAAATCCGCCTCTCGACTTTTTAGCCTTTGTCCCTGATAAACAGTACCCAGGACACTGAAGAAGACCATCAGGACGCCACGACGTGAGAACCGTGAAATGTATATGTACTTTTCTAAGTGACTTAGCCATCCTTCTTGCTGGTTTTGGGGAAGGGATTGATGTTGCTGTAGGAGCCCCATTCTCTGAATGCTCATCAAACACCTAACACATGGTGTGCTTCCCCAGGCCGGGCAATGACGGGGAAAGGGAAGAGCAGGCATTTAGGGCCCACAATGTAGGGGCCCTACGGAGCCCTGGGGGCACAGTGGTTAAGAGCTCGGCTGCTAACCAGGGCAGTGGGCAGTTCGAATCCACCAGCCGCTCCATGGAAACCCTATGGGGCAGTTCTATTCTGTCCTACAGGGTCACTGTGAGTCGGAATCGACTTGACAGCAACGGGTTTGGTTTCCTTTTGGTGGTTCCATGCACTGCTAAGTGGGTTATGTATTGTCTTTGGTATCTTATGCTCATAAAAAGGCATAAACCCCTTTTACAGATGAGAAAACAGGGGTCTTGGGGATGGTAAGTAACAGAGTCAAACACCATTTGGGGCCGAACTCAAGTCCTCTGTCTTAAAAACCAGAATAACGACCTCCCCCAAAATGTCCACATTAAGCTCATCAGGACCTGTGACTATGTCCCCTGACATGGCAAAAGGGACTTGCAGATGTGATTAAGTGAAGGGTCTGGAGATGGGGAGGTTACCCTGGATTACTCGGGTGGGCCTAGCGTGATCACAAGGGTCCTCGTAAGAGGGAGGTAGGAGGTCAGAGAGACAAGGATAAGTGCCAGCGGAAGCAGAAGTCAGAGAGATCAGAGAAAGGGGCCAGGAGCCGGGGTAGAAGGCAGCCGCCCGGAACTGGAAAAGGGAACGGGGTCTTCCCTAGAGTCCAGAAGGAACACACCTCTGTCGACGCCTTGATTTTAGCCCCATAAGACTCATTTCGAACTTCCGACCTCCAGAACTGTAAGATAATAGAGTAAAACCTGTGAAAGCTGAAACCTGTGTAAGGCGGAAACCTGTCAAAGAAGGCAAACTCAAATACTTCCCACCACTAGAGAGCAACAGAAAAGTGGTGAGACTGCACCCTGTCAAAGGCGGGAAACTGTGAGACCCCCAAAACAAGGCAGGCCCGTCGAGTTCAGGCTCGCACAGATTCCACTGTAAGTTTGTGTTGTTTTAAGCCACTGAGTCAGTGACAACGTGTTATAGCGGCAGTAGGAAGCTAATACAAGCGCCGTTCTCAGCCCTCCTGCTGTTCTGACAACTCACGTTAGCACGGTGGCTAAAGCCGCTGGGCTGTTTCTTCCTACCACATTGTAGGGTTGGAATGAACCACTTAAAAGAGGAGCTAAGAACATATAACCTTGTTCTTTCAGCAAGTGCCTTTGAGGGAAATGAAGGTGGTACAGTGTGGCTTTTATTTTGCTGGTGTCATGGATTGAACTGTGTTCCCCGCAAAATGAGCATCAACTTGGCTAGGCCATGATTCCCAGTATTGTGACTGTCCACCATTTTGTCACCTGATGTGATTTTCCTATGTGTTGTAAATCCTATCTCTATGATGTTAATGAGGCAGGATTAGAGGCAGTTGTGTTAATGAGGCAGGACTCAGTCTGCAAGATTAGGTTGTGTCTGGAGTCATCTCTTCTGAGATATAAAAGAGAGAGGCGAGCAGAGAGACAGGGGGACCTTATACCACCAAGAAACAAGAGCTGGGAGAATAGTGCATCCTTTGGACCTGGGGTCCCTGCGCTGAGAAGCTCCTCAGCTGGGGAAGACTGATGACAAGGACCTTCCCCCAGAGCCGACAGAGAGAGAAAGCCTTCCCTTGGAGCTGGTGCCCTGAATTTGGACTTCTAGCCTCCTAGACTGTGAGAAAATAAATTTCTCTTTGCTAAAGCCATCCACTTGTGGTATTTCTGTTATAGCAGCTCTAGATAACTAACACAGCTGGATTTTTTCCTACTTTCTTGAGATGGATACTTACTTAGCTCAGCTTACTTCAGCCTTTCTCGTTTTTAAAGGGCTCCCCATTTTAAACAGACACTTTTAAATCTACGCATTTCCCTGTCGGTACTGCTTCGGCTCAGTGTGACTTTTACAACTTTCCTTCCTCAACAGATCATTCTCCTTGATGAAGCCACTGCGTCCATGGACTCCAAGACAGACTCTCTTGTTCAGAGCACCATCAAAGACGCCTTCAGAGGCTGCACGGTGCTCACCATTGCCCACCGCTTAAACACAGTTCTCAACTGCGACCGCGTGCTGGTCATGGAAAACGGGAAGGTAAAGGACGGACGCTCGCTCGGGTGGCTTCCCCTCCCCAAGGTGTCACGTGGTTTGGGGTTTATTACGGTCTGGGGAGGGATAATTTTTGACAACTTCAGCTCTCCTCTTTCAGGTGGCTGAGTTTGACAAGCCCGAAGTCCTTGCTGAGAATCCAGATTCTGCGTTCGCGATGTTGCTAGCAGCAGAAAACAAAGTTCGACTGTAACGGTCCCTGTGGCGGCTACGTCACGGGATTGTAGAGGAGGAGGCTGTGTGTGATGAGTAGGCGGAGGGCTGTCATCTCAGCAGACGGCCCTAACCCACCCTCCTTCCCACCCCATGGAGCCCAGGCCGAGCTGGGGCGGAGATGGCTTTCCCTGCCTTGCCCAGTCCACACCGCCTCACCTCCTGGCAGGCTTGGGGTTGGTTCTGGGTGGCGAAAGAGGGCCGACAAAGAAAGTGTGTTAAAAAAAAAACTGCCCCTCTCTCCCTAAAACCCTGAGGGTCTCATGTGACCCTGCCAATACCATTTCAGTGCTTGAAACCTGGATGTTTTTAAACAGAATGGGAAATTGCCTAAGAATATGACTTGTAAAGGTTGCCTTGCCTTGTGGTCAGCTGGGAAATGAGCAGTTTTCTTTGCCTTAACTCCTCTTCATGCCTATCTTGCCTGTGTGACAAGTAGTAACTACAGAGATCTGTAGCATGTAAGATGGATTACAGTGTTCGGCCAATTTTTTTTTTTTAATCATATTGTATGTTCTATTGGATCTAGTAGAATAACTAGCAAAACAAAATGCTGGAGTTTCTCTATAAATGACATTTTTATATCTTCTTTATTGGTCATTAAAACACGGTAGGAAATTAAACTCTCCTGAAATGTTGCCATGCGATTCTTTTGTTGTCATTGTTGTTAGGTGCCGTCCAGTCGGTTCTGACTCACAGCGGCCCTATGAACAACCGAACAAAACACTGCCCGGTCCTGCACCACCCTCACAATTGTTGTCATGCTTGAGCCCATTGTTGCAGCCACTGTGTCAATCCATCTCGTTGAGGGTTTTCCTCTTTTCTGCTGACCCTCTACTTTACCAAGCATGATGTCCTTCTCCAGGGACTGGTCCCTCCTGATAGCACGTCCAAAGTATGTGAGATGAAGTCTCGCCATTCTTGCTTCTAAGGAGCATTCTGGTGTACTTCTTTCAAGACAGATTTGTTCGTTCTTTTGGCAGTCCATAATACATTCAATATTCTTTGCCAACACTATAATTCAAATGCATTATCAATTCTTCTTTGGTCTTCCTTATTCATTGTCCGGCTTTTGCATGCATATAAGGCGATTGAAAACACCATGGCTTGGGTCAGGTGCACCTTTGTCCTTAAAGTGACGTCTTTGCTTTTTAACACTTTAAAAAGGTCTTCGTAGCAGATTTGCCCAATGCAATGCGTAGTTTGACTTCCTGACTGCTGCTTCCATGGGTGTTGATTGTGGATTGAAGTAAAATGAAATCCTTGACAACTTCAACCTTTTCTCTGTTTATCATGATGTTGCTATTGGTCCAGTTGTGAGGATGTTTGTTTTTTTTTACTGAAGATATTCCAGTTTCTGTCCCTTTTCTCTCATCCACCCTCACTGCGGTCTCCCTTGACTCAGTCATAACTCCCCGGGTGTTTCGCAAATGAAGGGTTTTTCTCTCCAACCTCAAGGCTTGTTCTGACAGATGCAAGTAAGACGTATTCCAAGTAGCCTGGGAGTGAGCGCTGCTAATTTACGGTGGCATTTGAAGGAAAAAAAAATAGAAAATTTTAGGAGCTCTCGTACAGGAGTCCCTGGATGGGGCATGTGGTTAAGCTCTTGGCTACTACCTGATGGGTTGGCGGTTTGAACCCACCCAGAGGTGCCTGGGAAGAAAGGCCTGGTGATTTGCTTCTGAAAGGTCACAGCCATGAAAATCTTCTGAAGCGCAGTTCCACTCTGCAACACATGGGGTCACCGTGAGTCGGACTGGACTCAGCGACAACTGGTTTATCTATTGATTGATTGATTTGCACGGTAGTTGCCGAGGGCCTCGCCCTGAGGACCAAAGGTCCCGGTGATGTTTCCTGAGCTCAGGCTGAGTTCTAGCTAGAGCACAGGGCGGCGCTGGTCAGCAAAGCTTTCATTTGCTACCCCCTCCTCTCCACTCCCTTTCTGAGTCTTGCCCACCTTCCTATTTCCATCCTCCCAAACACAGCTCTGTGCCTGGCACAGAGCGAGCGCTCAGAAGCATTGTGGCCTGAGCAAATGACAACATCTGAGGAACTCTTTCAAACACTGGGCAGTGGGAGCTGGTGCGCTCCCTTCTGAGGCTCATTTGCCTGGTAAGGGCCTGAGATTTACTACAGAGAAGCCAACAGCCAGCATGGCAAGGTCTGGGCTTGTGAGACTGGCCTCCAATCAATCTTTCTCCAGCTCTTCTTTGACCAGCGTCTGCAGAGCCAGAAGCGAGGCCAGCAGAGGGAGAGGCGGGTCCAGGCTCAGCTCCCAGTGTGGCGAGTGTGCTGAAGCCCTGGCTGAGGCCACTAAGCAGCCACGCTGCCATCAGCCAAGGATGCTCACCAAGAAGGAGGCAGCAGGAAAGGACATCAACGAGGGGGTTCCTTTCACAGGCAGCTCCACACCAAGCTGGGACTCTCCAAGGTGGAGGGATCAGTGTGTCTTTACACGGCCCACTGGCCTGACCCGAGCTTTCTCCTACGGTGTGCAGTCCAGATCTACAGGCCATTAAGCTCATGTCCACTCATCTCTGGAGCGGCTGTTGTGCCAGGCTGAGTGTGGTCATCCAACAACTCCCCAAATGTGGCAACTAGACCCAGCAGTCCCTGCTGGCCACATAAATCCATGCCAGCTATGTGCTGGGTAAACAAAAAACCAAACCAGTTGCTGTCGCGTTGACTCTGACTCATGGCAGCCCATGTGTGCAGAACAGAACTACAATCCATAGGGCTTTCAATGGCTGTGAACTTTGGGAAGCAGATCACCAGGTCTGTCTTTCAAGGAGCCTCTGGATGGATTAGAACCACCAACCTTTTGGTTAGTAGGAGAGTGCTTCACTGTTTGCACGACCTAGGGACTCCCGGGATGAGATCCAAACCAAACATGATTCTTGGCAACCCCATGTGCTACAGAGCAGAACTGCTCCGTCGGTGTCTTAGTCATCTAGTGCTGCTATAACAGAGATACCACAAGCGGTTTGCTTTAACAAAGAGAAATTTATTCTTTCACAGTTTAGGAGGTTAGAAGTCCGAATTCAGGGTGCCAGCTCCAGGGGAAAGCTGTCTCTCTCTGTCGGTTCTGGAGGAAGGTCCTTGTCATCCTGGTCTAGGAGCTTCTCAGCACAGGGACCCCAGGGTCCAAAGGACGAGCTATTCTCCTGGCTCTTGTTTCTTGGTGGTATGAGGTCCCCATGTCTCTCTGCGCACTTCTCTCTTTTACATCTCAAAAGAGATTGACTTAAGACTCATTAACATCATAGAGATAGAAAAATCACATCAGATGACAAAATGGTGGACAATCACACAATACTGGGAATCATAGCCTAGCCAAGTTGACACACATTTTGGGGGGACACAATTCAATCCATGGCAATAAGGTTCTCTTGGCTGTAATGTTTATGGAAGCAGATCTCCCAGTCTTTCTTCTGTGGCACCGATGGGTAGGTTTGAATCACCGAATTCTAGGTTAGTGGTTGAGGGCAAACTGTTTGCTCCACCCACGGAACTTGGGGAGAGATGGGGGGCTTTATTTTCTACCAATTTGGCTCCAGCCAGGCAATTAGTCTGTGATTTCCAGGAGACGTTTCCATGCAGGCAGAAGCTGGGCAAGGATACAATGCCCTGTGGCTCACTCAGATTTACTGAAAGATGAGTCACCTCCTACAACTTGTCTTGTGCCCACTCTCCCCTTGGCTTGTACAGACAGAACAGGATGCCAACATCGGTTCTAACATCTGGTGAGCCTTACCATGTGCCAGGCACCATGATAAGTATTTTTACATGAACGATTTCATTGAATCTTCACATCACCTCGCGGAATGGGCATTTTAAATTATTCCCATTTTGCAGAGGTAGAAACTAAGGCTTCCTGAGGTTAGTGACTTAGCTACAGGCACATGGGAAGGGGGGAGCAGAGCCAGGATGGAGCCCTAACCGTCTGACTCTAGGGCCCCTGCTCCTCACCCTCCACAATGGTCTCTCATGCCCTTTCCCTTGGCCCCTTACCATTGTCATTGTCACGGGAGAGAATGACTTCTGGATGCGTGTGCGCAACAGCGTGGAACCGCTTCGGTGAACTCACCTCCCCCACAGCCTGTACCATCACCGAAATGTTAGCGGTGGGGGGGGGGGTGGCGGGGGCGAGCAGACTATGTTCAATAAATCGAATAATAAAATCAGTTGCCATCAAGCAGACTCCAACTTATGGAGACCTCATGTGTGTCAGAGTGGAACTGTGCTCTATAGGATTTCCATGGCTGTGACCTTTCAGAAACAGATCACCAGCCCTTTCTTCCAAGGTACCTAGGAGCGGGTTTGAACCACCAGTCTTCTGGTTAACAGCCAAGTGACTAACCGCCTGCACCACCAGGGCTGCCCAGCATGTGGAATAAGAATCACCGACATTTATTCCTCAAAACACACGCTTAGCTCCCTGACTTCTCACCGTATCCCTGTGGGGTGGGTACCAGAGTCATCCGCACGTTTCTGGTAAGGAAACTGAGTCACCAAGAGAGTAACTCAGCCAAGGTCACACCACTATGGACGCTTGAACTCCAGGAGGCTGACTCTAAAATGTGTTCTCTAACTTCAGCGGGAGAAAGTCAGGGTTGGAAAGGCTGTGTATTGGTCAGGATAGGAGTGGTTATGCTGTGTAACAAACGACCCCAGATCTCGGTGGTTGACTCCCTCTGCGTGCTACACGTCCACTGTGGGTCAGTGGTGGCTGTCCTGCTTGTCCTCTTCACTCTGGATCCCAGGCTGACAGAAACATCGCCGATCTCATGGTGGAGGGCAAAGACGGAGTCACAGGCGACACGTGCCACTTCCACCATGTTTCATGGGCAAAAGGGACTCACACGGGCACTCCCGAGTCCAGCAGCGTTGGGGGGGGGGTTATATACTCGACCTGCAGGGAGGGGAACCATGAGGCTCATGGCCAAGCTTGTCCCTGCAGAAAGCTGCATAACCCTCCAC